ATTTTTTTTGTAGAGATGGAACTTTGCCATGTCGCCCAGGCTGGTCTTGCACTCCTGGGCTCGAGCAATTCATGTACCTGGGCTTCCCAGAGTGCTGGGATTACAGGCGTGAGCCACCACACCCAGCCAGGATATATACCTTAATTATATTAATTAAGAGTCTTTCAGGTACTATACATCTGTTTGGAATTACTTACAACTTAAAAGCATTTGAAAAACAGCTCATTCAGAAATTTCTTAATTACAAAAATAATCTTACATATTTCAAATGTGAAGCATGGAATTCATAACTTGTCATTTTAAGTATCTTGGTAATAGAGGGAGGCACAATCCAAATGATGTTATTAAAGGAAAAGCTTCTGCTAATTATCCTAAGTACTGAAATAATTTGGTTCAACTCAGTAGTGAAGGACTCTTGGCTCACTGCATAGTTCTTAAAATCCCAACCACTGGAAACAAACAATGAAAGCAACTCTTGTGGGGCCGCCCATGCTATCAGCTTTTCATCTATACAGTTGCACTACTGCCATAGTTCCGAACCTATACCTTGGAAATAAACCAAATGCAGCCCTCATGTGATAAAAGTTGAGATTTCTAGTCACTGTATCAACTATCTGAACCAGTAGTTACCAAACTTTAGCATATAGTGGAACCCAAAGGGCTTTTTAAGGCACAGGTTGCTGGGCTCTACCTCCCAAGTTTCTGAATAGCACATCTGCGGGGGGGCCAATAACGTGCATTTCTAGCATGTTCCCAGGTGATGCTGCTAGTTGGGGACACCACACTTCTGATAATTAGTGAACTAAACAGGAATCTATTTTCTTATAGTAACAAACTCAACTAAAACACACAGGATATTTATCTATAGAAAAATGTTATCTAGTTCACAAGCAAAGATGAATTACTGCTAAATGCTGTAGCCCGAACAAGAAAACATCTTAATGTTTGTCTTTAAAAGAAATACAAAAGTCCACATTTACAAAAATAGAGAGGTGATAGCCTGTATTTTTAAAAAGGCATGGGCTGGGCGCAGTGGCTCACACCAGTAATCCTAGCACTTTGAGAGGCCAAGGCAGGTGGATCACTTGAGGTCAGGTGTTCGAGACCAGCCTGACCAACATGGTGAAACCCCGTAACTACTAAAAATACAAAAATTAGCTGGGTGTGGTGGCATACACCTGTAATCCCAGCTACTCAGGAGACTGAGGCAGGAGAACTGCTTGAACCCAGAAGGCAGAGGTTGTAGTGAGCCAAGATCGCACCACTGCACTCCAGCCTGGGTGACAGAGCAAGACTTCATCTCAAAAAAAAATTAATAAACAATAAAAAGGTATTTATCATAATATTCCTTTAAAGAGCAAAGTCTTCAACATTCTATAATGCAACTGATAATGGCAGGAGGCAGACAAATGCCTAGGCAGATAGGGGTGGGTCCCTGGTGAAACCCCACCTCCAAGCCAAAGACAGTTTAAAGCCTGAAAGCCAAACTACAAATTAAATCCACAGACTAGATTGAGAACCCATCTTCCTATTTGGTGGCTTTCCTCGGATCCCCACCCTTCACCTATTTTACATATACCTACCCTTTCATAATTGGTTTTCTATATTGCTGTGCTCACCTTTCAGTGGTGCCTTTAGTCTTTCTTTGCATACTCACAAACCAATCAGTAT